TGCGGACCTTTCGCAGACTACGAGGCTGGCAATGTGTGACCATGGATCGAGTATAGTGGATACGACTTCTTCGCACAGCACAGGACAACAAGGCCTTAGTCTGATTGGTAAGGTAAAGAAAGGGAACATTCTCTAGAAGTGCAGAAGACTTCCTCTAAGAATCCTGAGATCATTATCTAAAAGTCCACAGGCTTCCTATAGAAGTCCAGCAGACTTTCTCTGAAAGACCTGGGGATTTCTTCTTGATGTTTTGGAGATTTTGTCTAGAAATCCTTGGGACTTCGTGTAGAAGATTTCGAGAAATCCTCTAGAAATCCTGAAGCCTTCTTCTACAAATCCTGGAAACTTCCTTTAGATGTGCTGGGAAGTTCCTCAAGATGTCCAAAGAGCTTCCCCAAGGTTTACTGGGGACTTATTCTAGTAGCCACGAGGACGACCAACTCTAGAAGTCCAGAAGACTTCCACCAGAAATCTTGGGAACATCATTTAGAAGTGCAGCAGACTTCCTCTACAAGTTCAGCAGACTTCTAGAAGTGCTGGGGATTTCGTCTTGACGTTTTGGAGACTTAGTCTAAAAATCCTGGGGACTTCCTCTGGAGATTCTGTACCCAAGTAAACATAGGCACGTTATTTCGCCATTTTGGTTATGTACAGCTGGACAACGGCTATACCAGTGCTTGTAAGTTCTGATGAGGCCCGTATATAGCCAAAAAGCCAAAATAACGTGCCTATGGTTACTTGGGCAGTCTTCTTTTCTTTTAGATGTCTTGAAGATTGCTTTTCGATATCTCGAATGAATTGCTTTAGATGATGGCCTGTATACTTTCTCTGAAAGATCTAGGGACATCCTCTATAATCCCAGCGAAATTATTTTAAAAGTGCTGGGATTCTCGTCTAGATGTTCTGGAGCCTTACTAAATCAAAAAATTCTGGGGACTTCGTCTTAAAATCCTGGAGTCTTCTTTTCCTTCTTCTTATTCGCATTTCAAGCTTATTGCTTATCGCATATCAGCTAATTGTGTGCTCTCAGCTTAGTTGCATTTTCACAGTTATCAATTGAGAGCTTTCGATGCCTGTACCATTGTTGCATTAGTATAATTGTGTGGCAAGTACAATAATACTCTATGTCCAGGGAAGTCGAGAAATTTTCCAACCTGAAAAATTCCTAGACTGGTTCGGGAATCGAACCCAGCCACCTCCAGCATGGTTTTGCTTTGTAGCTGCGCCTTTACCGACTGAGCCAAGGGAGGCCTCGGAGTCTTCTTCTACAAATCCCGCAGACTTCCTTTAGATGTCCTAGGAATAATGTTGTAGATGTTCAAAGAGCTTCTTCTGAATGTCTTCTTGTGACTTGCTTTAGAAGTCATGAAGACGCTGTCTAGAAGTTCTGGAAACCTTCTCTAGAGATCTTGGAGACTTCTGGATGTCTCAAAGACTTCCATCGATGTCTTCAATACATCCTTTATATGTATGTCCTGGGGCATCTTCTTTTATATGTCCAGCAGACTTCCTCTGTCCTGGGGTCATTATCTAAAAGTCCAGTAGATTGGGAATTATGTCTTGCTGTTTTGAAGACTTCAGCAGAATTTATGGGGATTTCCTCTAGATATCCTGCAGTGTTTTTCTACAAATTTTGAGTTCCCGGTAGGTGCACTGGGGACTTCTTATGGCTGTTATGAGGACTTGCAAGTCTTGATAATGCACCGCAATATTTTACGCTATGACCACATCCGCCGATAAACCACTGTGCATACTATCCGATTCTGCAAGCGCCCTTGCCGCTTTGAAAACTCTGATACCCAAACATCGGTGGATGCAAGGCATTCAAAGGTGGGCTCCCCAGGATACTGTATTTGTCTGGATCCCGGGTCATTGTGGTATCCAAGGTAATACCGAAGCTGACAACCTTGCAGTCACTGGCCGATTTGGTCAGTTGGCTACAAAGAATGTTCTCGGTCCAGATGCCATCAATTTCGTAAAATCTGTCCTCCGTACTGACTGTGCCCAGGACTGGGCCAATAGAAGAGAGCCATTCATCCGAAAAGTGAAAGGTGTGATTAACAAATGGATCGTCATCTCACCTCCGATACGGACATACACGCTCCACCCACAATATGGGAGGAGCATCGTCTTTCAGGAATACATGCGAACCCTAGTACGCCGATGACAGTTGAACACATAATTGTCAACTGCCCCTGTTTACAAGGCATCCGGAATCTCGACCAATATTCGAGAAGCTCTGGCCAATGACCCGTCAATGAAAGCGGCGGAGATCTGTCTCTATCTACCACCAAAACTAGCCTTAACCCACTACAACGCTACGGATAATCTTGCTCTAATCACCTGAACCGATTAAATCTTATTCTGAAACCAGCAATTCGTACTGACCACTACCCGGAATCCTGATCTTACAGTACAAACAAACTACAGAATACCAGTTTACCTAACCACTGTAACGAGCCAAGACTGCGTCCTAGATTCAACTCCGTATTTAACTCTGTAGAACAAAAATTCTGCAATTTGAGAGGTTATCTTTCTGGAACCCCCAGCTCCAGAACTGGGAGGGCTCCCTACTGGCACGTCAACCCTTCAAAACTCTGTAACTAGGAGCTCCCATCCTCTTTTCCCAAAGAGACGAACCAGCCAGGTGCTGAAAGTCTCTATAATTAAGCTAAACTAACTAGAAATCTTGAAGCTATTTTCTACAAATCCCGAAGACTTCCTTTAGATGTCCACAAGGTTTTCTCTAGGTGTAATGGAAGCTTCCTTTAGTAGTTCAGGAGAATTTCTCTAGATGTCTTCGGGATAATCAGTAGAGCTAGTGGGGATGTCGTCGAAAAGTACCAGACACTCTCTCGAGGAAGTTGACGTTTTCGGAAGAGGATTTTTAATAGCTTAAGGTGATACTCTAAGGAAGCCTTAGAGTTAAACTTTAAAGGCACAAATGTCAGCTTCCACAAAATATACAAATTTAAAATTGCTACTCCTTGTTTGCTATGCTACTGCAAACAGAGAGTAGCAATTTCAAATTTGTATGTTTTGTGGAAGCTGGCATTTGTGCCTTTGAAGTTTCACGCTAAGGCTGCCTTAGAGTATCACCTTAAAGATTGTAATGCCGAAAAAAATCCGCTACCGAAATGTCTACCAGTCGAAAGGAAGGCCAAACGTTGGAGTCTATAAATATTGGGAACTTCGTTCAGAGATCCTAAGCGTATCCTCTAGGGTTTCTTGCATAAGTCATACATGCGTTAGGAGTTCTGGAGACTTTTTCTTCAAATGCAGGGGACTTCCTTTAGAAGTCCAGGAGACTTCTTCTAGCTATTCCGGGGGCATTCTCTAGAAGTACTGAAGACTTATTCCAGGAGTCCTGGAAACTTTCTCCAGAAATCTTGGAAGATTAGTTTTCGTCAGAAGTCCTATCCTTTTAAGAACTCTCTTAGCTGGATCCTTCTGTAAGCTCTGTGGACAAAAGTCGCAACAACCCTATATTCTTCTCTTAGAAAACCTGTGTCAATATTTTAAAGTAATACCCCGTTCACATTACAGCCTATATCACGTAATATAAGCTGTCTTGCAATGAGCACTCATACATAGGATTTCCAGTGAAAACTAGATGTATGAGTGCTCATTGCAAGACAGCGTATATCACGTGATATACGCTGTAATGTGAACGGGGTATAAAAGAACTTCCCGTAGAAGTCTTGTAAACTTCCCCAAACAGTCTTGTGTGACTCAAAAAACGGCTTCTACCCATCTACCGAAAGCAAACGGATCTTCCATTGTTTTGGCCGGATCTGGCATCTGCTCACAATGCTTCTGCTACGTTGGAGATGCTCAAGAAGGAACAATTCGATTTTGTCGAAATATTCCAAAATCCCCCAAACTGCCCTGCGTCCTATCGAAAGATACTGGGCAATAATTAAACGGCATCTTAAGAAAGATGGAAGAGAGGCAAGCTCTGTTGACTGCTTGAAGAAAATTTGGTCTGCAGCACATCGACAAGCTAACAAGAAATTTGTGCAGAATATAATGGGCGGTTTGGGAAAAGTTTGAGCGTTTTTCAGAGATGAGAAGTAAACATTCAAACTCACGTGAAATCGGTCACATGTAAGTTGATTTTCGTTAATATAAAGTAAATTTATGAATTATTTGTTCGAAAATAAATATTTTCCTTTGAGAAACAGGTCCTTAGTTTACCCATTTTTGGGTAGGTTCAGCTATGACCGATCTGGGTGGATTCTACCCACATTTGGGTAGTTCTGAAATAGCGAGTGCTTAAAAGATTGCTGAACATTGTCAGAATAAAGCTTCAATAAACAATCCAAAGGAAGAAAACATCAAATCAAGTGTCTTGTGGTAGCCTACGGTAAATGATCGATGAACCCAACGATGGATCATCTTCAGCGGGATGACGTGAGGTTCTGTTTGTATTGGAGGATTGTTGTAAATATATGTAGCTCCTCATAATTTTAATCAATCTAATCTACTGATGCTGATAGATACTAGGTTTTTTTTTTCTTTTGGCTACAATTGGGTTGAAATATTTTAAAGTCTCGTTATTGGGAAGAACCTGTTTCGGCTTTCTTTAATTCTAGCTTAAAGGTGAGGCGCTTAGTTATGGACATGGGTTTGGGAACTTTCGATAGTGGACTTTTAAATAAATAACGGAAAAGAAATCATAAATGCATAAGTGGCTTTATTGGTGCAATATTTCTAAAATTTCAAATGATTACATGAACCGGATTTATTTAAAACTGAAAATTTCGTCAAACTATAGAGATGAATACAAACGGGATGGGATCATGGTATTGTCATTGGTTTCCATTCGTGGGAGGTAATTTATAGTCATTATCAATATCAATATATAGTAAATATATGGTGCATTCATGCGTTTTTCATTTCGATTTGAGCATTGATGATTGTTATTTTGTTTTTGTTCGTTTCATGGGAACCTTTTCACTTCCAGCACGCCATCCGACGCACCCAGCCGAAATACTTACTCGTGAAGTCGTCCAGATCCTCCTGTTCCGCCTCGGCCGCCAGCTCTTCGGGCGTTTTCTTTTTCCGCATCAGCGGGTTGGGTTCCTCCTGGGGTGCCTGTTCGACCACTTCCTCTTTTTTCTTTATGTTATACTGCAAGAAGAAAAGCGAATTTAGAAGAAAATCGTTAATTAAATAGATTTGCTAAGCAAGAGATGAACTTTTAATCATCAAACTTTTCGGTTTTCGGCGGTTCATTCTGCGAGGCGTGTGAGCTGAGTGGCCAATCAAAACTAACGGCGTGAACGGAAGGTGATGACAATAATCGGAAGTGGATACTTTTTCTCTGCACAGAGTGCTGCCGAAATCGAACTCGTGGGGCAAAGGGAAATCCGGTCCGTTTGGTCGATAATGGCCTATATTTAGATCGAGACAAAAAGCGAGCTGAGTTCGTTAGCGGAATGTTCGCCTCTCGATTCGTCGGGAAATGAGTTCGCCGAGGAGAAGACACAACAGCAATTATCATTATCCCGGGTGGCCTTAATTGTAATAATAGTATTTACGTTGCGGAGACTTCATCCATTGGCCTCTTTCGGCTGCGATGGTATGAAAATACGGGAAAACGCTAGCAAAGATTCGAGTCACACCTGGGAGCTACATAGCCAGAGCCTGGCAAATGAGTGGTATGCGTCGCCCGCAATCCGGTAGCTAGCAGCAAGGTCGTAAATTGTCCCAATTGCCATGAAACAGCTAATTGAACATTCGTGCTGCCATTCTGCATGTGAGTGCGTGAATGTTTTGGGCAGACGGGGGTGTAGTTAGGGTTTGTTGATTGTAAAATAATCTTGGTTGAATTATATTCTGTTTTATTTTCATAAACTTAGTTTAGAATAGACTAGTGTAAAATAGTGTAATTTCATGGTACTTATTTGTTTATTTGTTTATTTTATTATTGAAAAATTCAACTGACAATTATTGTCTAAATGAATAAAACGTAAACTAAATAGTTACGGTCAACGGTACGGAAAAGGCCAAGTAACCGATGACCAAACACGTCAGCTGATACATTGAAGTCGAACATATAAAAGAGGTTGTTGAATTGCCGGCTGATTGCTCGAATTGGCTCGTTCTGTGTATAATTTCGGCGCCGTGTTTCCAAAAACAGAAAGTCGCGTGGACGAAGAGGCCTCTCAGGGGCATACATATTTAGCTGAGCAAGCAGTGTTGGACAATGTCAATGTCACCCGTAAGCAGCTTTCCAGCGAACATAGCTTGAGCGACCGTCCGTCTCACCTCTAATGGTTCGATTCCCAGGAGACGGCAACGCTCCTCGTACGGTGGCAAGTTCGTTGGGTCACGCCAGTTGAGGAAACGAAGAGCATATCTCACAAGCTTGCTTTGAGCGGATTCAATTCTAGTGATCCAGCTAGCATGGAAAGGGCACCAAACAACTAAACTTGACTCCAATAAGAATCGCAAGTTACCTGAGGCATAGCGGGTCACGGAACTCGTCGGCAATTTTGAAAATAAAGCCAAATTGTTGATTAGCTCTGGCGATGATCTCATTGTAGTGGATTCTGAAAGTGAGTCTGCAGTCCGAGGTAACGCCGAGATCCTTTATGTGCTCTACACGAGCAAGACAGCGTTCGTAGAGAGCATAGTCAAACATGATTGGTTAGATTTTTCGGCGATAGGATATAATGTTACATTTTTCGATGCTTAGACTCATCAAATTTCTTGAGCACCAGTCAGCAAAAATACCTAACATATTCTGGAGATCCCAACAGTCCGAGAGACTTTTAATAATTTTGTAGATTTTCGTATGGTCTGCATAGAAAACGCGGGATCCTGATGGTATCAGAAAGGCGACGTCGTTCAAAAAGATCGAAAACAGTAGCGGTTACTGCCTTGCGGAACTCCCGATTTGTTTGAGAAAACATCCGATTCCGACGCGCCAATCTTAACCCGTACATAGCGATTCACCAAGTAAGATCTGAACCAATCCACAGCCGTTGACGAGACGTCAAGTATCCGTGTCAAATGCAGCTTTTAGATCCATCTTAGACTTGCCATCCTGAAACCATGCATCGCAAACAGGTAGAAGTAAACTGCACCAGATTCGTGGACATGGAGCGCTTCGGGTAAAAGTCGTGTTGTTCTGTATGGATATAATTTTTGCAACACGCAAATAGAGCATCATCTATCATAATTTCGAACTGTTTTGAACAGGCACACAGATCTCCTTTGTTGTAGACTGGGAACAGATAAGAAAGTTTCCAGCGGCAGGGGAACTAACATTGCTGTGCCGAGAGATTGAATAGCCTCGCAAGTGGAAGGAAGAGATTGGCTACACAACGTTTTAGGACTGATGACGGAATGCCGTCAGGTTCGGCGGCGAACGAGAGCTTCAGCACCATGACTTCTGAAATGCGCGGAATATCAAAACTAAACAACATCACGTGGCATCCCAACAGTAGCATCCAGCACTTGTACCGGCGAAGCGCAGAAATCGTGGAACACTTGCCTGAAATGACGAGCAAACAAGTCGCCTTTTTCTCTTTCGATATTAGCCGAGTCATTCCCGAGAAACATGGAACAAGGCAACCCGGATTCCTTCCCTTTGGAGTTGACAAACGATCAAAAACTTTTCGGATTCGTGCGAAGGTTCGCTTCCGTGCGTCTCACGTGTCGATTGTAGAGAAAACGATTGTAATTTCGATAACTAAGCCTCGCAAAATTGAACAGTCGTTTGTAGTACGGCGAGCGAGAGTTACAATATTTTCGGAGGGCAGCAGAGCGTTGACGTTTTAGCACGCGTAGGCGTGGGTTAGACCATGGAGGCTTTTGCGGGGGTCGTCGTGCTGGGACAATGCGGAAAATAGCATCTTCCAGTGCAGCACTGAAAAAATCATTAACGCTAGCGGCTGTTTCGATAAATTGCCAATCAATTTCCGATAGCGCATTGTTCAATGCAACATAATCAGCTCGGCGAAAGTCCAGAGAGTAGCACTCAGATGACGGCGTAAAAACAATCGGCGAAGGTAAACTAAATGACACGACGAGAGCGGGCGGGATGATCGGCATCTAGATCAATCAGTGGCTCGACCGGCAAGGAAACAGAAGTGCCCGGTAATGCGGAATCATTTGCCACGACAAGATCTAGCAAAACCGTCCAAAAGAGCACAGCAAGCAACTGGCATATGCGAACGCAGTGGATCAATTAATGGTGTGTCACTGTCTGTAAAGCGCCACTGCAAACCAGCTTGATTGTAGTCGCCAAATACGAAAGCGGAAGAGCAGGGACTTAATTGAGAAGAAATCGAGCCTAACGATTCCACATGCTCACGGATGATTGTGCAGTCGTTTTTGCGGTCGAGGGGCAGGTAGATTGCGCCTACACTAAGCTTGCTTTGTGGAAGTTCTACGACAATCCACAGCTGTTCCAGTTGACTGCACACTTAGAAAAATTCATGCAAATTTAGGTGCTCTGAGAGTGACATATACGAGCGTCAATTTTGACATAAATTAGAGTCATAACAGACGCGAAATATAGCTTAATCAAACGTACTTTTCGTCGAGGAACGAACTTTTCAGTCTCGGAGCACTTAATATTACAGGACATGTTTGTTTACGTCTCATCTTTCATGCAAAAGATGGATTCCGTCACGTGTAATATTAGTTATTTCTAAGTGTGTGGAAATGGGTGACGTACTTACGTAGCTGGCTAGTCTCGTTGATACTGCAATGTGGACTCCGCCACCGCGCAATTTTTGACTGTTTAGGGGAGACCGGTCAGTTCTGAAGACGGAATAGAGTGACCCGAAAAGACTTCGAACATGTCGAACAGCAGAATTGCAACCAGCAAGTGGAACCCAAGAAACAAAAGCGGTGCGATGCTACACACTTAGAAATAGCTAATTTTACACGTGAAGGAATCCATCTTTGACATAAAAGATGAGACGTAAACAAACATGTCATGTAATATTAAGTGCTTCGAGAATGAAAAATTCGTTGCTCAACGAATAGTACGTTTGATTGTGCTATATTTTGCGTCTATTATGACTCAACTTTATGTCAAAATTGACGCTCGTATATGTCACTCTCAGAGCACCTAAATTTACATGATTTTTTATAAGTGTGTAGTTTTCATTGCTATGACGACGACGACTTAAAGCCCCTTAAGAAACAAAGTGAATTCTCTTCTTCGATTTCCTTTTTTGATGATCATGGCTTCACTAGCCTATTTCGCACTATTTCTGCTATGCTCTTCTATCATCCAGATTTTTTTTTACTCTATTTGTTCCAAATTCAAAATAAATTATATTTCATTTTAACCTTGGTGCTCCAGTTACTACAGTAACTTACCAGCCTTAATTGTTATGATATATATCTAAGTATTTTTACGTTGTTCCTGTCTTGGCAATTCAGTATTTTAAACAGGTTTTTTATACCTGCATGTCAGTATAACAATTGATATCTTAAAACTAAAAACTTAGACTAAATCTTATCTAAGTATAAAGAGAATTAATCGTTGCAATTGAGGATTGTGACGATTTTTGCCTGAAATTATTCATTATTTTGTCGGACATTTGTTCTAAAGTCTCAACATTCGAAATTCTATGTACCTCGATAGTACAGACCCCAACACACCGGAAATAAGGGCAGCTGATGTGATGAACAGTATTGACCTAACACTACCCACGATTAAGTTCCTAACGGTACCAAAAATAGCACCCTGGAATAGAAAACCAATTATTATAGATAAGCACCTCTGGCACCTAAGCAAAGAGAATGCAAAACCCCCAGAACTGGTTCAAGCATTCAAAACCCGGAATAGTTCTCTATACAAATTTCATCGTGCAATATATACCGATGGATCCAAAAAAGATGGCAGAACAGGCTACAGCGTAGTGACTGCAGGCTTAACTATACGTAAAAGAATAAGAAACTTGAGCAGCATATACACAGCAGAAAGCCTCGCCATAATTGAAGCACTGAAATGGATTGTCCAACAGGAAACTGCCGGAGCATATATCATTTATACGGACTCCCTAAGCGCAATAACAACACAGGAAAAACAAAAAACCTCCAGCGTCTGGAAAGATGAAATCATCGACCTCTATAATAAGGCAGCGCACAATCATTCATGTGTA